ACAGACAGACAGACAGACAGACACACAGACAGACACACAGACAGACACACAGATAGACAGACACACAGATAGACAGATTCCTTGCGTAATAGTTAGATAGCACTAAATAGGAATGTTTATATGGTTTCATTTGTATCACATGCATTAGCCAGAGTATGCACATGCACACGGCGTCGCCACACAGACTGCTGATGGTTAAACTCGGTTCCACTGATGACGGCCCTGGAGTTAACCAGATGTGGATTCGCCAAACCAACCAGTTAGACCTCAACTTTGAAGTCTTCCCACATGTGAAAGTGAAACATGGTGTTCAACAACATTTGGTTTCACGAGACAGACGGCATTAAGGATGAGGACGAACTGGTTGGTCGGTTTGCCACGTCTGGTTAACTCTGAGAAGAAGCAGCACACAGTTTACCTCACGTTACACCAAAACTCATGAGTCATTGAGGTCCCTCGGCCGTTTAACAGAAAGCATTGTACTCTAGTTTGACATTTCCGACTTTATCTGCTGCTGACCTGATAAACATTCTACAAATACATATTGTGGTTGTAAACATTTGCTGATACGTGAGGGATCTGGGCTGTTTGTGTGCAGTGTTTTTCCTGTGGTGCTGATATAGTGAAGGAAACATGGAGATTAGCTGCTCATTGAATGGAAGACCAAGCACCCCCACTGTCAAAGTGGAGAAATAAGCAGGCTACCCATGTTTGAGTCTATGTATCTACATGTCTTAGTGACCTTGTCTGGCTGTGTGAGTCTCTCGTCAACGTGTAGTGTGTTTGTCTGTTAAATGATGTGTGTGTGTGTGTGTGTGTGTGTGTGTGAGTGTGTGTGTGTGTATGTGTGTGTGTAATTGTTTTTTACGCTTATGGAAAAGATGCCAAGTCTAGTTAGTGGACTTTCATCTGGATTAATGGGACTTTATAGGATTACTGCTCGGAATGCTTGAGTCGACGCTGGCTAGAGAGAGAGAGAGGGAGAGAGAGAGGGGGAGAAGGAGAGGGAGGGAGAGAAGGAGAGAGGGAGAGAGAGAGGGGGAGAAGGAGAGGGAGGGAGAGAAGGAGAGAGGGAGAGAAGGAGAGAGAGGGAGAGAAGGAGAGGCCAGTGGTTTGGAGCTGTTCAAGGTGTCACTTGAAACACATGAAGAAATCGACTGTTCTCTTTTTTATTCTTGTGAAGGGCATACGCCTAGAAGCACAGCCACACACTCTCCCAACGCTGCGCTAACACATTAGTCATCCTCCCACAAATATAAAGGCTCCTCTTATGTGTGTGTGGGGGGGGGGGGGGGTGTGTACAGTAAGTGCGAGTGTTTTTGGACGCTGCGGAGACGGGAGGAGCTGTGTGTGTGTTTTGTTTTCATCCGTATGTGCGTGTGTCCACATCTGTGTCTGCTCAGTGGTGAAGAAAATGGTTGAGTTTATTTACATAGAACGCGGTGGCTGTTCTCTGTCAGCGAGGAAACGCTGCCAACTCCACGCTTTATCTGTGACCCTGGGAGTCAGCGCGTCAGGGTGATGAATCGGCAGGACGGGCCCGCTGAAGCACAGCCAGGGAGACGACGCAGGAGCTGTTCTGATTCATCGCCGCTGTCCCTTTTTCTTTCTTTTTTACATGTTGTGTATCCCTCCCGTGTCGGTCCAACTCCTGGTGGAGATGTTGGACTCCCGTTTCTCAGAGACTTCCAGTCCGACATACACAGTGCAGTACGTCAGACCCCAGATAACCCAGCAAACCCTCACACCGCGTAACCCAACGAGAATCGCTGCATCGGCAGAGTCGCCAGAGCTTCAAGCTCTGATAGAAGCATTAAATGCAACTGAACAAACCACAGAATGGAGCAGCAAAATAAACGTAACGTGAGTCTGTGGCTGGAGGAGGCCATGTGGATCGCTGTGAGGAACCGCACATCTCACAGGACACTTGTTGACTCCAGCCAAATGACGTACCAGATTTCACTTTGAATCAGCTCAAGGCAACATGGCATCCTGTGAATATGCACAATCAGCAAAACTTACAGTGAAGGATTTCTCCACGAGCTGTTTTGTCTTCGTTTTCCTGAAGCAGGAACTAAGCGCAGCCGACACACACACTACTGGCCTGCAATGCTAAACGGCTACAGTGTAACTGTAGTCAGACATGGCGTATAGAATGAATTACAGTTGATATTTTAATGCTTTAAGTATATATATATATATATAATTCAGGTCAACCAACCGTCCTGAGAACAACTTTTAGTAAAAAAACAACAACCTCTAACAGTAGAGTGAGGTAATTAGTCCTGTCCACTTTCCCACATACGGTAGCAACAGGAACAGGAGGTCACGAGGTGCAGGGGAGGACCGAAACATGATAAACTCTTTCTGTCAGTTAGATAGGCTCTGGAATGAAGGGGAGGAACGAGTCTTACTGGAACAGAGGAGAGGTGTAGTCACACACAGGGGGAGAAAAAACAAGTTGAAAGGGTGAGAAACAGAGAGGGACAGGGAGGGACGCAGGTAGAGGGGCGAGTGGGAAGAGACGGCAAGAGTGAGAAAAAGAGTGAGATGGGGAAAAAAAGGTGCACATGGACAAGGAGCCGAAAAAATAAGAATAAAATGAGTTACACAGAGGGAGACATGTAGACAGAAAGACAGACATGACGACAGACAAAGTGAGGAAGGCTGCTGATTGACTCACCAGCATGAAGGAACTCCTTGTACGCTCCCACTTTTATCCGTAAAACCCTTCATAGCTCTGCTCCGACGAATCGGAGTGACACTAATTGGCCATAATAACCATCAGGGATGGGGATTCTGGGTAATACACAAATGATGATGGAAAGTGTCTGAAGGACGTCTGTGTCGTAAAGCTATCTGCAGTTGTTATCAAGAGAGATATCTGAGGGTCAAGGGAGGTCAAATTGAGTCACATGTAGACAGGGGGAGTGTGTCTCTTCTAATTCTGTCCCTTTGAGTGGCACCAACATTTGGTGAAGCATTTAGCAGCTGTAAACTAGATATTTCCCTCAGGAGTTGGATGAAGAGGGAAAAAGTACTTAACTGGGAGTGAATATTCCACTTACATTCGCCAAGCGGTCGGAAACACGACTCCTAATAAAGCTCATGCTGCTCTGTGTTTCTGTGAGTTCACTTTATCATCATGTGGACGCAAAATCAGTGAATCCAGGGTTAAATCTGAAATAGAGAAAAGCCCTTTTGCAAGTTTTGTTTTTTGTTATGCAATTAATTTGCATGATAATATATTTTTTTATCAAACTGTTAAATTAGTACTTTTACTCAGAATGCAAACATTATGCGGCAAAAAAGCAACGTGATATTGTTATTATATTATTATGCAAGGCGAATATAGGCATCAACCAATCAGGTTGTGTGGAATGTACACATGCAAAACAAACTATAATGTTCAACAACACAGAGGCTCTGCAGTCAGAGACTCTATACTGTATATGAGGTGGACGTAGTCATCGTGACGTCAGTCATTGGTTTGTGGACTGCTGTTATGAAGCCTCAAGTTCGGCAATTTCGCCATTGGCATTTATTTTTTTTTTTGCAACCTATAAACAGAATTTAGCATATTGGGAATGCGGAGGAGTGACGTAGAGACGCCGTATACGTCTCTGGTAGCAGCAGCGACTTCTCAATCACAGTAAGCCCGCCCTAAAGCATACTCTGCTTTATGGTCTATTTGACTCTAAATGGAGCATAATTTACTAAATGAACATCATGCTGTATTGAAGAAGACTTGAAACTAGAGATTGAGACCATAAACTCATGTTTACAATGTCTACTGAGGGAATAAATCAAGAGAGAAGTAGAGTCATTTTCTCATAGACTTCTATACAATCAGAGGAGTCGCCCCCTGGTGGTCAGTAGAGAGAATACAAGTTTTAAGAAACTTCTGCATTTGGCTTCACTTTTCAGAACCGGAGGTTGCCGCCTGTCTGTAGTCCGAACCATGACCTCAAACTTTATTACTCTTTTCAACCTTGACAAAGGCAGCGCAGACCAAATCCACGCCTTCCGTTCATACCTTTCACAATAAAAGCCCAACACTTATATGTCAGACGCTGCTCTGGGTCAACAGGATACAGGTAGTCGGTCCTGCATAAATCTATGCAAATCTTTTATTGAACAAGTGTCACAACTCTCAAATTCTGAATAGTTTTAATGTGAAATATTAGCAAGAGAGTATTCCACATTTTCATGTGATTTATTCGCCATGCCCCCAGTGTGTAAAGGCCTTAAGCGTTAAACCTCCTGCATGAAAGCCGGTTTGACCTCAAGTGTTCAACCATAAGTTATATATATTAACTTTAATACAAATGATTCATTGTAATGATCTATGCAGCCACTCTTTAGCTCCATGTCATAGTCTTCCAGCGAGGAATAAATATAACCAATGGTAGTTTTTCACATGGATACGCAGCGTGTGTGTGTTTGTGTGTGTGTGTGTGTGTCTTTGTGTGGGTTGGTCGGTGTGGAGTTGGGGAGGCATACAATGGCAGCCATTGTTGAAATCATGCAGTTATCCTGAACCGATCTGGCATTTTCAACAGCCGACAATTTCTCTTGAATGTTGCACAGAAAAAATAATCAGATCCTGGGGTTTGAGATATTGATCTGGAAACTCAAACAAGTGTCCAGATTTTTGATTGTTATTTTGTTTTGTGCCAATCTTTCATCTGTTTTTGCCTGGAGACAAAGAGTGTATACAGAGTGTAAGAGGGCTGCTAAGTTTGCGTCAACGCCCGACTCTAAACTCACGGGCAAGTCATTTCCTTGTGCCTTGCTTTCTCAGGAACTGGTGCGCTTATGTGTTGACACGCACCGTGAGCTGCGTGATGGAGGACGGGGTGGAGACGTACATCAAACCGGACTATCAGCGCTGCACCTGGGGCCAATGTCCTCGAGTCGCGTGAGTATCCACCCCCTCTCTCCATTCGCATCTTCTCTGAATCCTCCTCTCTGTCACTGAAATCTAATCTGTATTCTATCCTGCTCCTCCAACTTCCTGTCCTCGGCTCCGCAGACGTTTGTGGCCTCTATCCGATCCATCTTCTCCCCGTTTCCTGTCTGTGGATACTGAATCCACTCTGCTCGGTTCCTGACCCGGGGACATCCGATATTACAAAAATCGGAGCACATTTACTCAAGATGTGATGGATGGAATGATTTTAATTTTTTACAAATGTTGTCCTCGCTCCTGATGTTTCTCACCCTGTCGGCTGACTCTGGTCCAGCTACCTGATCCCCGTGCCTGCCGCGGGGCCTCGGCCCTAAACCTGGGCTATGCTAAGAATGAAGCCAACAGGGGTTCCAGGCACCGCAGTCTGGTCTCCCACCCTGTAAAAACAACCTCTTCTTCTCCGTCTTTCTCTTTACGACTCTCCTCCTTCCTTACTTCTTCTCCCACTCCTCCTGCCCCTGTTTTTGTATCCCTTTTTCTCACGCTCCCAGAGCGAGAAACTGGAAGATGAAGTCTTTACTGTGGTGCAGAAAAAGGCCCCCGCGATACCTAGACTGATGTTTGTGGGTTGGCATGAAGGAGAGCGAGTCGGGGCTTGTTAATGCGAGACGCTGCCATAAATATTTAGTGAGACTTCCAGACAATTCTGGTCTATTTATTGCATTGTTACTGTAACAGGGAGTCTCTTCAGTCGCAGGGCTAAAGGACACATTAATGATGAAGCTATCCAAATAAAATACTTAATTTTTTTCAGATGTCTCTGAGCAGCAGATTAAGATTTTGTACTGGCTAAATGCAGTTTAGGAGAATGGGAGGAAATAACATTCTGTAGTTTACAAAGACCTCTTAATCCCATCCATCATCAGTAGACGAGTTGGAGCTATTTCCCAGACAGCCGATGACTCAGTGCACGTCAACGTCAGCAGTGGACAGCGGTGGTATCCAATGCAGGGTTCAGGGACCGCTACGGGTCCTTGACTGGGTTATCGGGATCACGCTACAGATTTTAAGTTTCAATGTTGCATTCTGACACAAGTCAGCTATGCTCAAGTCCCAAATAACTCTGGAGTCTGAAGACACAAATAATCGGACTAGGAGTCACAGCCATAGTAGCAGCTCTGTGAGGCCGCACTTAGGCACAGGGATGCTTTGAGCTACATGCTAACCAATGATAATACTAACATGCTGATGGTGTGTAAGGTCCACCATGCTCCCTGTCTTAGTTTAACACAAAGAACAGGAGGGAATGTCGGGTATGTTTTGCAGGAATTGGGTCATAGATCAAAGTACATATGATTTTTGACTTGATGAAATCAAAGAAATTCTGATTTTGTAGACTAATCGATTAGTTGATTTAATCGACAGATCTGTAAAAATGAGTTCCTCTACAAAGAATCACACAAAAGCAGCACTTTAAATATCGTGTTTACCAGAGACGTGCCCAATTTATTCAGCATGGAAAAGTAAATCCTAAAAAGTCGAAGGATCACTACATTTATTAGGATCCACCCCTTGGGACCATACATGTCTGTATAAAGTTTCATGGTGATCCAGCTAATAGTAGCAGAGATATTTCGATCTGGACAAAAGCGGTGGGCCGACCAACCGTCCCACCAGCATTGCTGTCAAAAACAACAAGTCCATCATTCATTTTTAATCTCTTGTCAAACCAGAACAAATGAAAATCCATTTCTGTTTTCGTCCTCAGCTACCGGACATACAGGAGGCCGAGGTATAAGGTAGCTTACAAGATGGTGACGGAAATGGAGTGGAAGTGCTGCCACGGTTACTCCGGGGAAGACTGCCACGATGGGCCGAAGGGAACCGGCGACACCCAGGTCGGTGGAGGGCGATCCCGCGTCACACAGATGGGCTTCAACACGGGTGGCGGGCAGAGAGGAGAGGGCAGAGACGGTGAGAATCACATCTACTTTAAATAACGTTCAATGTCGTCACGGTAACTCATTTTGTGGACATGGTAACATGCTCAACATGTGCAGAACAGGTCTAAAGCATGAATGAATGAATGTGTCTTACTTTTCAAGTCGATACGTGAGAGCAAAATCACAACTTTAAGCAGATCTAGGGACAGTTATATGAAACATAACATTGAATATGCTTTCCTCTAAACATTATTCATGACTAAATAAGCAACAATCAAAGTTCCTCCTCATGGGTTTTCAGGGCCTGTAACAAATATTAAAGGTTCCATACTTTGTAAATATGTAACCTTAGAATCAAACATTTCCTCTTTCGCATCGGCATTGGTCATTCTTCGTCTCCAGGCGACGGGGAGAAGATCAGACAGCTGGAGGAAACGATCCGAGGTCTGACCAAAGACCTCCACAACATGCAGACCACCATCCACGGCATGAACCAGCGGCTGTACGTGAGCGCTGTTTTCAGCACATCACATGCTCGTGTTATTCCATGGAGTGTATTCACCTGTATTCACCTGCTGCATCGTCATCTGCATTAAAATGCTGTTTTTTTATTTTATTTCAGCAGTTCAGTTTAGTGAGAAAGCGCTTGTTTATGAACATAAATACAGAGATTACAGTTAGGATGCTGCATTCAGATGAAGCAATGTGACAATTATTCTCTTCCTTCTCTTTGATGTCATATATTTACCATATACCTCTTTTTATGACCAAAACCTGAGGGAATCTCAACTCTTCTTCTTCTTCTTCTTCTTCTGTGTAGGCCTGGTCTGAACGGGGCTATTGTCCCTGCTGATTCAGCTCAGCCACACATGAAGGAAACCATTAACAGCATCCAGACTAAGCTGGACCATCTCTACAACCGGACACAGGTAAAACAGTATCTTTATGGTCAGAATTCAAATGCAAAGGGTAGACTTCTTCTTTTACTTTACGTGCACATGTTGCTTGCTCAGGTCCATGACCAGACTCTGCTCAACATCAACAACCACCTGGTGAACGGAGGGGGCAACGAGCTGGACGGAGTGGCCGGAGGAGAAGGAGGAGGAGGAGAAGGGGGAGGAGGAGGAGGCGGAGGAGGCGCAGGAGGAGGAGCAGGGGGAAACCAGCTCACCACCCTGAAGGAGGAGATCCTGACGGAGCTAGAGAGAAGGGTGTCTCTGTCCTGCTCTTCATGCCAGGTGAATCTCACTATGTAAAAACCGCTTTGTTAGAGCCACCCAGTGTGATTTCTAGTTGTAGTTTGCATAGCTGTAAAATGTTTCTTCTTCGCTCCCTGTGGCCTTCTGTGAGGGATTTCTGCTGCCTGAAGCCATGCAAAAATATTAGCCACATCCAGGCAGTAAAACAAGAAAATTGCACTCGCACATAATCCACTGCACGAACGAAAAATGAAACAATACTGCAGTGAAAGGACAGATAACGCAAATTGCAACGAGGCCAAAAAACAATCTTCCAGCAGTTTGAAAGAGTGGAAGGATTAAGATTTAACATAAAACGATCATCACGTGTCTAAATGAAGTTTTTATTTTGCCTCATTCTACGTGCTTTCATTTTCACTGTAGGTTTACTGTCGCCTCTGTTATGCACTGCTCAGCTGTAGGAAAGAATTTAATATAAATAATATTTATTTGGGGGTATTGGTAAGGATCAGGAGCAAAAACAAACTGAGCTCTTTTAAAAGGAGAATTAAAAGTCAGTAACCTCAAACTAAGGTCTGTTTTAAAATGTAGTTTTTCTTTTATTTCTTTATTGTTATACCACTGGGTTGCGTATGCATTTTAATTAATTGATTCATTAATTAATTATGGTTTTTATGCCTCTTTCTTCTTTTACTTTGCTTTTACATGTAAAGCACATTGAGTTTTTGAAATGTAATGCCTTGCCTCTTCTTTGGAGCTGGCAGTCAGTAATGTGTGCTATACAAGTGCTATGCATAATAATAATAATAATGATGATTAGTAATAATAATAATCCATCCATCCATTTTCCTCCGCTTATCCGGGGTCGGGTCGGGCAACAGGCCAAGCAGGCCGACCCAGACCTCCCTCTCACCGGCAACATGTTCCAGCTCATTCTGGGGGATCCCGAGGCGTTCCCAGGCCAGCTGGGAGATGTAATCTCTCCAGCGTGTTCTGGGTCTTCCCCGGGGTCTCATCCCAGTTGGACGTGCCTGGAAAACCTCCAGTGGGAGGCGTCCAGGAGGCATCCTAATTAGATGCCCGAACCACCTCAGCTGACTCCTTTCGACGCGAAGGAGTAGCGGCTCTACTCCAAGCTCCCTCCTGATGACCGAGCTCCTTACCCTATCTCTAAGGCTGAGCCCGGCCACCCTACAGAGGAAACTCATTTCGGCCGCTTGTAGCCGCGACCTTGTCTTTTCGGTCACGACCCAGAGTTCGTGACCATAGGTGAGGTTAGGAACGTAGACCGAGTGGTAAATTGAGAGCTTTGCCTTCCGGCTCAGCTCCCTCTTCACCAAGACGGTCCGGTCCGGTGCAGCGCCTGCTTTACTGCTGCAGCTGCACCGATCCGTCTGTCGATCTCCCGCTCCATCTTACCCTCACTCGTGAACAAGACCCCGAGATACTTGAACTCCTTCGCTTGAGGTAGGCACTCCGTCCCCACCTGGAGGGAGCAATCCACCGGTTTCCGGCAGAGCACCATGGCCTCAGATTTGGAGGTGCTAACTCTGATCCCCGCCGCTTCACACTCGCCTGCAAACCGCCAAAAGTGAATGCTGGAGGTCACGATCTGAGGAGGCTAAAATAATAATAATAACAAACATTATTCATAAAGCTCTTTTCAAAATAAAGTTACAAATTACTTTACATGGTTGAACCAAGATTGAAATATTTCAGGACTTTAAGCGAATGACAGCAGGAAAATAAGACACTGCGCTAAAATTAATAAAAGGCTTTTTTGAAAAGATAAGTTTTAAGATGTGATTTAAAAGATGTCCCTGATTTTGCAAGCGTCGTAAGTACAGTATTGTTTTTTTTTGTTCATCGAAATTGAAGAAGCCAAACAACCTCACAGTTCAGATTAAAATGTCCTCCAGTTGTTGGTACAGACTGTAGGTGTGCACTTTACTCCATTTGGTGCTCAGGGAGGGGGCATTAGATACTATTTGCTTTCAAACAAAACAATTTGGGACACAGACACAAACACCTCAATACATAATCAGCACAAACTCTAGAACCAGCAATCTAATTCCAGTCTTCATTATCCCTGTTCCCTCTAGGCTGGCGTGGAGGACCTGAGGCGCCAGCAGCAAGAGGACAGGGAGCGCGTCCAGGGTCTGGAGAAGCTGATCAGCTCCATGGACCAGCACCTGAGGCAGAGCCTGGACATCTCCCACAGTGAAACCCTGCGCTCCCAGGCCTGCTGCAACACTGTCACCGAGCTGGAGAAGAGGCTGTCCACTCTGGAGCTCCGAGTCACCTCCACGGCCAACAAGTGCGACGCCGTTAAAGGCCGGCTGGACAAGGAGCTGGCAGGGACGGGCGGTGGGAAGGGACGAGTGACGGAGGACAGGTTGAATGGCAGGCTGAGAGAACTGGAGAAGAGGGTGAATAGCACGGTGAGGAAGACGGAGCAGAGGTGCACCAACACGGGGAACAACGTGAAGGACAACGTCCAGAGGGACGTCACGCAGCTGCGCATCATGGTCCTCAGCCGGCTCGATGACCACGGCTTCAAGATCGGCAAGCTGGAGCTGGACGTGGCCGTCCTCGGAGATACGGTCAGGGACCACAGCCGGCGTTTAAGTCACCTGGAGAACATCACGGCCTTCCTGGACAGAAGGCTAACATCCACCACGAACATGTGCAATGAGACCTGTGGGCCTAACGGGAAAGGCCGCAAGACTGATGACACTGTGAAAACCTTAGAGTGGAGAGTCGTGGATAACCAAGAGGACATCCAGAAGTTTAACACCAGGCTAAACGACCTGTCCGTGTCAGGGGACTCGCTGATCGACAGAGTCATCAACTTAACGGACGACGTCAAAAAGATAATAGCTGTGACGGGGGAGAGCGGCGAGCATTTCAACCGGATCGTCACAGAGGTCGAAACGTTGGGCCGCGATCTGGAGGACTGTTCCATTTGCGGCAGCGTGGAGGAGGACCTGCTCTTGCTCGCCAACTCCACCAAGACCGGCCTAGGCAAGTGCCAGGCAGAACTGACAGATCTGCGGAGAAAGGTGGACTCGGGAGAGTCGGCCTGCTCTCAGGTGTGCTCCAACCTTCAGGAGGAGGTCGGGCGACTCAGAGAGGAAGTGGAGGAGTGCACGGGACAGTGTAAGGTCGACATGAACGATCTGAAGAAACGCCTGGACGGTCACGGCGTCCATAGCGGTAGATTAGGGGGGGATCTGAAGTCCATCCAAGGACAGCTGGCCGGGGTCATTGTCACATTTAGCTCCATCAATGACACCCTGAATGGCCTGGGGAGGACTGTGCAGACACATGGAAACACGCTGACCGATCTGAGCAACGCCAAGGACAACATCATCTCTGACGTAAGATGATGTGGTGATGATGAGGGTGATGTGACTGCCACTGCCTGTACACATGCCAAAATGTGAAATACTCGCCTGCAAATTTTATATTTCTAGAGCTTTTATTGTGAAGGGTAAGAACGGAAGGAGTGGATCTGGTCTGCGCAGCCTTTATAAAGGTTAAACGGAGTAGTAAAGTTTTCCATCTTGGTTCAGACAGCGGAGCTTTAGTGTTATTGTTTCATGGATATAGGTATACAGTTACAAAGCCTTCTCCATGCTGCCAGGAATTAAATGCTGGTGGGAAAAATATTGAATAGAATCAGCCTTTTGACCGTAGAATATAGACTCTCCTCAAGTGTCTAAAACCCCCAAATCTTCCAGGAAAAATACTGAAGACATGACATCAGTATTGTCAATGGTAGTGACTGCCTAGCTGAAGAGGTAAAAGTGTTTAGTATTTTACAATAACAAGACTAAGAGACTACAGCCATGCTAGCAGCATGCCTCCCAGCCACTCATTCTCAGGCTCATTCATGTGAACGGAGGAAGGAAAATAACTCTGGATTAGTGCATTAGTGCATTTTACAATCTAAGGACCTAATGACTTAAATGAGGGCTATACATGTTTTTGTACTGGCAAGCTGATTTACCTCAAAAAGATATATTCACTGAGTTACAGACGTCTTTTTCCCAATGTAAGTCTATGTGGAGAGAAAAGTCTGTTTGGGTCCAATGGCATCACTGATCAATCTGGAATCAGTCTGGAAATTGAAATTCCACCTTTTGGCCAAATGTCAAATTTGTGTGGGGGCACGCTAACATGATAATTGCTAACATCAGCATGCTAACATGCTCAAAATGACAATGCTAACATACTGATGCTAAGCGGGTATAGAGAGCTGCAGGGATGACATTTTTGAAGGCCAACGCAGGAAGTTAGTGTATCGCACTCGATCCCTCAACTAAAAGCCGCTGTGTCTTGAGCCACGCTGCTAATGCGGCTACAAAAAGCTAAGATTTAGTGAAAATAATTGTAATCTGTGTAACACAATATGATCTCCCACCTTGTTCCTTGTTGAATATCTCATGACCCTTCAGATTTATCTTGCGACCCCATTGTGGGTCCCGAGCCCCAGGTTGAGAAGCACTGTACTAGTACGTTCTAATACATACAATAGAACTAGCCCCTCAGAATGAAACAAGAAAGATCAAGCTACTGTTATGATCATAATGATGGTAATTGCGGTGATGATCTGTGTTGTGTTAATAAACTGTTCACAGTGAAACAGAGCTTTTCTTTATGGACTCTGAAAACAACACTATGTCAATCAAACAGGCCTCGTGGTTATCTTGGCAACAGTGTTTTCACATAATATTATTATAGTAGAGAAACATTCTTGACAGACACGCTCGGATAATATGCTTACATATTTTTGTGTGTATAAGATACCGTAGGAAAATAAATGGCAGCAAAGACTGAGAAATGTATATTTTTAGTAGAACTTTGTCAAAAGAAACTCATCCAACGCAGACACATTAACAAGTGTCCCCCACTCTCTACAAGGTGGACATCTTGCAGAAGGAGCTGACGGATCACGTCGACGACTCCAAGATTCAGTTCGACAACGTGGGCCAAGAGATCCAAATAATGAGGAGCAACTATGTGACGGAGGTCGGGGAGTGCCGGCGGTCCGGCGACGGCCTGGAGAGAAGACTCTCCAAGCTGGAGGGAGTGTGCGGACGCCTGGACTCCTTTTCAGACGGCCTGGAGAGGATCAGGGAGGGCCTGAACCGACACGTGTCTGGGCTGTGGAGCTGCGTTAATGGACTCAATGTCACGGTGACGTCTCACAGAGATCTCATCGACGACATCCAGAACGTCCAGCTGGAAAACGTCCACTCCGACATACACGGACTGAACTCGTCGGTGGTGGACCTAGTGGAGGAGTTCCACCGTTTCATAGAGCAGGACTTCATGGGTGAGTCGCGGGGCCACGGGATTTGACTTTTGGACAAGAGACAGAAAGGGAGGCAAGGTCAGGGTGAGAGACAAATGGACCAGAGAAAGAATCCAGGCGAGAAGCGTTCACTTAAAGAGCCTTTAAAGACTGCAATCTGTCTGAAAGAGGAGTTTTAGTAAACATGGGGGTGAAAGGAAGGCTGGGTTAAATGTCGTAGCTTTCTTGACCTACTGTGCATGTTTTTAAAAGAAAAGAAACTATTTTTGTTGGAGAGCATTTTCTTTCAGGAGGTTTTTTTTCCCCCAGCTGTGATGTTTCATTAGATGTTCTCCTCCCCCAGGTCCACCTGGTCTACCGGGCCCCCGTGGAGAGAGAGGCGAGCATGGAACCCAGGGTTCTCTAGGACTCCAAGGGAGGGTGGGACCCCAGGGCAGAGAGGGCAAGCAGGGACTAGCTGGACCCCCAGGTAAAGACAACAAGCTTAGTCTCTGAGTTAACAGTTACTGATTTACAAGCTCCAAAGATGTACGATACATTCTGATAATAAGAAATAAACAGCAAGAACGACTTTGTTGGATGATTAACTCACTGTTTTTTTGTCTTTCATCTTGCTCCTCAGGTCTAAGAGGCGAACAGGGTATGAGTTGTTCTTACCAAACAGCAATGAAAGCACTCATTACTGTTAGATCTTTCCTTTCGTACTAACTCCTCCTCTCCGTCTCCCCCGCCGCAATCAGGTCCTGCAGGGTCCGATGCCCACGTGCCTCGCCTTTCTTTCTCCGCCGCGCTGACCCGCCCGATGAGAAGCGCAGGAACCATTGTGTTCAACGAGATCTTCGTCAACGAAAATAGGGTCTACAATCCCAAAACAGGTGCGCTTCAGGTCGGCTGGACTTGTGAACAGATGCCCTCTGAGATCAGAGCTCTCTTTTTATAAGATCACCTCAAGGAAAAGTAGGTTTTTTATGTGTAGGCCAACCGCTAAGTTAGCATCACACTGGTTCTCTCAACAAAAAGCCAATGGGACTTTTCCATTAGATGTTGGATTATTGCAGAAATACTTACACGTTTTGTTCAGCAAGATCATCTTCACAAATGAACATAACTTTTTTGATTTTTGAAGCGTGAATGCAATCGGCAGAAGTAAAAAGCTAACGTCAGGCTACAGAGGAGCTACACCACGGTCACACGAGTGTGACTAAACACATGGAGGCTGTGAAGGCGGACTAGTCAGCGTGATGAAGTTGTGTAGTCTCATTTAGCTACTTGTTAGCAAGCGACTTTTGTTTAAGACAAGTGAAAGCTTCTAAATTCACCACATGGATATTTACTGATTTTATATCGTAGAACAAAATGTTAAAATCTCTTCAGCTTGCGTTAACCACAGACTTTATTTCAGGCATCTAAACAAAAACACATTCAAAAAACTCATTGACTTTGAAAGAAGGGAACACCGGAAGTGCAAAAATACTGACTCATTTCCTGGTTTTAGGACTCACGAGACTCCCCTCCATTGCATTGAAATGGTGGCAGAAATCAAGCGATATCTCAAACCTTGGGCAAATCAAACCAAAGTTATCTGCATGGCTTCATCTGCAGGCATATGTTTGTAGGATGACCCGACCTTTTAAAATAGTGGTGTGTTGTCTTTTTAATGCCATCCAACAGGTTTTGTTTAATTAAAGTTACTTAGCAAACAGGGATCCAAGAATTTTGATGAAATAAGGGAGTCTGAGCTCATACACAGCATTAAGTTCACCGTGTCACCGGCTTCCATCCTCCAGGCTATTTCACAGCTCCAGTGAGTGGGACGTACTTCTTCAGCGGCATCCTGACGGGCCATAAGAACATGAAGATCGAGGCAGTGTTGTCCAAGTCCAACACCGGCGTGGCCCGAGTGGACTCGGCTGGGTACCAGCCCGAAGGCCTGGAGAAACCCATGGCGGAGGCCAAGCACATCCCCGGAGCTGTGGCCGTCTTCAACATCATCCTGCCCATGGAAGCAGGGGACACGGTCTGCATCGACCTCGTCACCGGCAAACTGGCCTTCTCTTCGGAACCGCTGACCATCTTCAGCGGGATGCTGCTGTACGAGACCACCTGATCGGACGCGGGGTCGATGTAACCAGTCTCAATCTGTCTGCTGGACTGTGAGAGACAGAGCCACTGGCTGGAACAGAGACTGAAATAACTGGACTGGATTCATTCAGCAAGGACAAAAAAAACTTCAAATTTGACTTCATGTGCTAAAAAGGAAGGACAAGAAAAGTATTTTCTAACCACAATAATTTTTTGTTTGTTAGTTTCACAGCTTTAAGGAAAATAATTTGCGCCAATGTGTTTTTATTCTATGACGTGTTGTCTTCAGAAACAAGAAGCCACTGCAGGGTTGTCTTATAATTCCATATTTCATGCTGTTCTACAAACTTGAATTCTTTACAGATAACACGGAGATAGCCCTCAGGTCTGTCTTGTGTTAAGGAAAGGACATTAGCTTTGATGATAAAAGATACAAGATGTGGGGGTCTTTTGTTTTCAAATGTGCAGAGGTTATTGCACACCATTTTTACTGTTTCTAACTAGTTTCTTTTCTTCAAGCTCACAGTTTCGTTTTGACCACAGGCAAATTCCCAGAAACATGACGCTGAATGCCAGTTGTCTTAGAGTGATGTTGGGGACACATTCCAAACCACCATTCTTTAGAGGGAAATGCACAAATGAAGTAAGTCACTGACAGTTCAAGACAGAAACTGCAGCATTTTATAAATCACACTACAGCAAAACAATAAGACCATTTTAGGACATTAGCTATGCCCAGAAAACACGAGGGGAGGAGGAGGATGGCCGGGGGGGAAGAATGGGGATTTCTTTTTTTTCTCCCCTTTGTCCTAATAAGGGCCATCTAACGTTGGTGGAGGATCAAGAAGCTAAAGTTATGAAGCTGTTCCTATCATTCTATCTTACAGTGGAATTTAAAGCTACAATAACAAATAATGAAGCTGAACTTTTGTCTCTAGGCTACAAATCCCATCTCCTTCATGAACACACACACACACACACACACACACACACACTTCCTGCCTTTAGAAGTCTAATTGAAATGACTCCAGAAGAAAATGTGTGCATTATATCAAGTATGTAGATATTGTTGAATGGATTTTAAAAGGAACATTTTCTGCAGAGACGATACAGATCGGGCCACATGCTGCATTATATTGACATAATGGTGGAAGCAATACATGGATTAATATCAGCATATCAGGGTTTGATCCCAATTCATTGTTCTTTTCCTCCCACAATTTTTCCTTTCCAGTGTGGGAATGTAATGTTATATGTTTCTATGTATTCTATAACCTCGAAGCAATGTAAATATTTTTCAGCGGTTTCGCCCACATAAGATTTTTACGAGTTACCACTTCACCTTGCCAGGTATTGTATATGTTTTGTATGTTTTTTTGCCACATGTGTGCCTCAAATACAGATATCCAGTTTTACACATCTGATGTCGGCAGTCTCTCATTTATCTGGATTGTGTTCTGTTTACTAAATGAGCCAGTACGTGCCAGGTTTTACACACCGTTTAGCCCGCTTCAGACTTATTTCATCTGGCACTTTATTGGCTTTCACAAATACACACAGCTGGGACGACTTTCTATTTCTGGCTCCTACTTTAAACCCCCTCTCAACTCTTCCTCTTGACTGCAGTAGGTTCATTTTAGCTGAAGACTTCAAGGAGATGGCTGATAAGCCACTTGTTAGGCTGCACTGCAGTGACACCCTGTGTTCAGTGTCGTTACCGTCGCAGCTGGGATGTTGCTGCTGAGGAACCTTGGAGAGTATCGCATATCTTTGCACATTCATTACTTATCAAGAGGTCTCTTTATAAACCCTTTCTGCACTCAAGTCATTCTACCGTCACTCATGCAGACAGAGTCATCCCTGAGACAATGTAATTGATCAATGCACTGGCGATCAAGTGCAAAGAAGCGGTAATTCTACCTAGGCTACTTAAGGATGTAAGGATGCATGATAAGATGGGACAGATGTAGCCTACGTATGGTAAGCTGTTTGAGTATTCAATAGCTAGACTGGAACTGCATTGCAGATATCCTTAATTAAATTCTTCCCAGTCCAAATGAGCATTTCAGATAGAAACAAATTGTATTTTTGATATGTAACATTCTGGATAAAAAGTCTGACTATAGTCATAATGTAATAACGACTAGTCAAAATGACTTTGTTGATACTGATGATCGTCGAGCTTGGCTAATAAATGTTTTAACGGCTTGTCATACTATTCTAGTGAAAATACAATTTTGACGAGGAGAAATGTTATTTGGGATATCTAAACTGTATACATTGAACTGGCAAACCGTTTTAACATTGAACGTTAATCGAACCACACTCCTCTGTAATTATAATGTTAGGTAATGTTAAAACGGCTTGCCATAGCCTTTGGTGTTTGTGTTGGTACTCTGTGGACCCCAGGAAGACTACAATCACTACGTGAAAGCTAATAGGGGTCAATGTAAAGAATACAGATTATGATTCGAATGGTGGCAGAAACATCAGATTGGGAATCGGATGAAACAACACATGGGAATCCGTTACCTGGATGTTGATGAAATGTGACGTTTAGGGAACAACGTGTGGACATTTTAAGTAACGCTGGCCTATACTATTTTTAATTGTATTCAATGTACTTGTTTAAGTGTATTTCTGTTGTTTAGTTTATTTGGATTAAAAACATATATATAAAATGCTTTACAGTAGGCGTGGTGTCCACATTTCCTCTCTGCAGTCGTATTTGGAGCCACAAGCATCATATTACCGAGCTCATCCCCAGTACTTGAATGCAGCATCAGACAGCACCAAAACACAGAACGTACTTCCCGGGATTTCCACGCGTGCCGTTGCCATGGAGCTGAGTTTGTTTCTTTTCTCCGGCTGACACGAAGTGAATGGTCGTGCTTGAAAACAAAAACACAAACGAAGTAAGGACTTTGTGGCGAAAAAAACTGGGCATACGTGTGACTGTCCTCGCTGTCCGGACGTGCTTGGGTCTGCGAACAACAACGTGCAAGGACCTTTAAAGATTTCCAGCACAGGTAAGAAGCGCGTGCCAAACAAGGAAACGCAAGGTGGCAAGCTAACATTCATTTACCTTTACCTAGCTTAAGTGTGTAGGTGGGTGGAATGGTGTCTGAGGGTTTATCAGTCTACAACGGCTTTCAATGTTTTGTTCATGCCGCCAAATGTTTCATTAACAGCGTTTGTGAGGTTAGTTTTTCTTGTTTTCAATAAGAATGTAACACTCAGTAAAGGGTGAACACGGGTCAAAGGGTCAGTAACCAATCAGAAAAAGTGATTGGTCATACGTAGGTTGTCACTTAGCTAGGTAACACGGCTAACTAGATATAGTATATTTATTGGAGTGAAAGTAACTTTCAGAAGAACAAACTAGCTCACAAAAAGTGTGCTGTACTGTAACGGTAAGTCCTCAGAAAGGACAACGCCACCGAATGTTCGAGTTCAATTAAGTTAAACTTGTTTTAGGTGGAAAAAAATGATAAAATACTGTGCTCAGACAAAACAAAGCGGTGCACTGACAGTTCACTATAATGGCGCCACATGCTGTTGTTCAGTGACATAACTACTACATACAGTTGTGTGAAAAAGTGATTTGCCCCCTTCCTGATTTCTTATTTTTTTGCATGTTTGTCACACTTAAATGTTTCAGATCATCAAACAAATTTATATTAGACAAAGATAACACAAGTAAACACAAAATGCAGTTTTTAAATGAAGGTTTTTATTATTAAGGGGGAAAAAAAATCCAAACCTACATGGCCCTGTGTGAAAAAGTGATTGCCCCCTAAACCTAATAACTGGTTGGGCCACCCTTAGCAGCAACAACTGCAATCAAGCATTTGCAATAACTGGCAATGAGTCTTTTACAGCGCTGTAGAGGAATTTTGGCCCACTCATCTTTGCAGAATTGTTGTAATTCAGCCACATTGGAGGGTTTTCGAGCATGAACTGCCCAAGTGCGCTTCAGCTTGAGGTCACGAACAGATGGCCGGACATTCTCCTTCAGGATTTTTTGGTAGACAGCAGAATTCATGGTTCCATTTACCACAGCAAGTCTTCCAGGTCCTGAAGCAGCAAAACAGCCCCAGACCATCACACTACCACCACCATATTTTACTGTTGGTATGATGTTCCTTTTCTGAAATGCCGTGTTACTTTTACGCCAGATGGAATGGGACATACACCTTCCAAAAAGTTTAACTTTTGTCTCGTCAGTCCACAGAGTATTTTCCCAAAAGTCTTGGGGATCATCAAGATGTTTTCTGGCAAAACTGAGACGAGCCTTTATGTTCTTTTTGCTCAGCAGTGGTTTTCGTCTTGGAACTCTGCCATGCAGGCCATTTTTGCCCAGTCTCTTTCTTATGGTGGAGTCATGAACACTGACCTTAATTGAGGCAAGTGAGGCCTGCAGTTCTTTGGATGTTGTTCTGGGGTCTTTTGTGACCTCTTGGATGAGTCGTCGCTGCGCTCTTGGGGTAATTTTGGTCGGCCGGCCACTCCTTGGAAGGTTCACCACTGTTCCATGTTTTTGCCATTTGTGGATAATGGCTCTCACTGTGGTTCGCTGGAGTCCCAAAGCTTTAGAAATGGCTTTGTAACCTTTTCCAGACTGATTGATCTCAATTACTTTGTTTCTCATTTGTTCCTGAATTTCTTTGGATCGCAGCATGATCCAGCTTTTGAGGATCTTTTGGTCTACCTCACTTTGTCAGGCAGGTCCTATTTAAGTCATTTCTTGATTGAGAACAGGTGTGGCAGTAATCAGGCCTGGGTGTGGCTAGAGAAATTGAACTCAGCTTTCCAAAGATGTGATAAACCACAGTTAATTTATGTTTTAACAGGGGGGGGCAATCACTTTTTCACACAGGGCCATGTAGGTTTGGATTTTTTTTTCCCCCTTAATAATAAAAACCATTTAAAAACTGCATTATGTGTTTACTTGTGTTATCTTTGTCTAATATTTAAATTTGTTTGATGATCTGAAACATTTAATTGTGACAAACATGCAAAAAAATAAGAAATCAGGAAGGGGGAAAACACTTTTTCACACAACTGTATGTGCTCTGTGATGATTGATCATTGAGTTATTTAAACTATAGAATATTGAATATACTCACAAAAAGCCACACAATAAGCCCTTTTCACAGCAGCCAGCCTGACATGTATTGCAGGGTAAACACAGGTGTAATTGCTAAGAAACCAGGGCCCTGGCCCACCTAAATGGAACAGGGCCATAATAAATGTTATTAGATACACCTGTGTTCACCCTGCAATGACATGTCAACATTGCCGCTTGCTTCCACCCTTCGTCGTTAGCATGTACGCCTACATATTTGTCAGGAAGTCATATCTCCTTTTCTATATATTCTTTTTTTTTTAACCAGCCCTTTTGACCACATGATGAGTGGAGGAGTAGCAGAGGGCCGCTTGCAGGTCCTTCAGATCTACCGCCTGCTGCAGTGCGTCCATCAAGGGGACAAGGAGCAGGTAGAGAAGATGGTGAACCTCGGGGTGGACAACCTCATCAACCTCACTGATCCGCAAGACAGCAAAGGGGTTCTTCATGTGGCAGCTTCAGCCAACAATCAGGGTGATGGGCCTCTTCTTTACTCCGTCAGATTATAGACATTCTGTTTGAAGAGAACATGAGAGAACATGGTGCTCCACTGGCCTGCTGTAACAATTTTATCCTTTAGAAATGAAGCCATGACTTGGTAAAGGCTAACATTTGAAAGCAATGTATGTCAGTACGTTTACATAACTTGGAATACTGCAAATATCCAGTTTACTGTAATGTTATTAGATTTATACCCAAAATTCCTTTTTTTTTAAAAAACAAGTTGATTCTTGAATTTATAGATACAATTTGGCCTTTTTGCTGCACAGCTTTACTAATGTCCAGGACTTATAAGAGAGCATGTACACAAGGCTACTGTACAATTTTTCTTAAAGAGAAATCAAGCAGTTCATAGAATGTACTGCAAACCCCCAAAAAAGAGGTCACCTCAGTGTCCTGACTGTTCCTGTACTCCTCCTGACTCCTTACAGACTTGGTCAGCTTCCTTCTCTCCCTGGGAGCACGCCCCAACATCCAGGACAAGGAGGGCCACACCCCGGCCATGTTAGCTGCTGAGCTGGGCAATGATGCCATAATGGCACTGCTGGTGCAGAGCAATGCTAATCTGAGACTCCAAGACACTGAGGGAAAAGGTGAGCTGTAGCAGAACTCGGAGAGAGCAGGGTAGTACATATATGTGATAGTTTTAAAGGAACGATGTGTAGCACTAAGGGGGATTTATTGGCAGAAATGGAATATAATATTAATAAGTATGTTTTCTTTAGTGTATAATCACCTGAAAACAAGAATCACTGTGTTTTCGTTCCCTTAGAATGAGCCATTTATATCTAAATACAGAGCGGGTCCTCTTGACAGAGCTGGTCGCCATGTTTCTACAGGAGCCCAGAATGGACAAATCAAACACTGGCTCTACATACGGGCATTCATGTTTTACGTTTTTGCGTTCGCCACCAAGTTCTCCTTCGCGCTTGGGACACAGGAGGAGTTTAGGTCGTTTGCAATCTGCCACCTCACCGCTAGATGGCGCCACATCCCTACACACAGGTCCTTTAATACTTTATTAATCAAGTCGTTTTATTGAGATGGAAATCTTTTTTTTTATTGCAAGAGTCTTGATATAAAGTTTGTGGGCTGAAACATAAAAATTGAATTATTTAGATACAGTTTGAGGAAAATGGTGGTGAGAACAAAATTAGTTCAGGTCTGATTTTCACGAGACAAGTGGGCTTTTTTCCAAACTATATTTTTGATTCTCAGCTATTCTCAACCACTGGGTCGGGGCCCACGAGTGGGCCTCATAGGACTGAGGTACTGCCAAACCATTAGATTCAATTAAAATAAGAAAATTGGAATTTTACAAAGCTAGTATATTATTATATCTAAATGTACTCAAGAAGTCACATAAATTAAAAAACATAGTAATTCAAGCAAAGCATAGTGTCAATGACCAGTTATGTGTGAATATTACCACGCCAGTCACAGCATCATCATCAGGTGGATACAAATGTGTGTTGCCAATGTTAACTGATGCAGTGACACAAAATGAAATCGTTTTTTTGAAATGAAAAAGTGACGTGGGAGACAACCCTGTCATTACAGCTGACAGAGGCATAACACATATTTATAGCCCAGTTGATTTTTTTCTCCTTTTTATTCAAGTTGTGTTTGTTATCTCTTTTATTTTCGGAAGGGGATCCTTGAAATGTATGTGAGGTAACGGAACAGCGTCCCTTCCGCTTGAAGTGTCGATTTCTCTAATAGAGGTGTTTTCCATCTCAAGTTAGTCCAGCAGGTTCGCTGTGAATGCCTTACCTTGTCTCACAACTCATGAAAATGCATGGTGCCGCTGTTTAGATATTGATGAGGAGGCTGTATCCCTGACAAGTCCAGTCAGCGAGCCTTAAGTTCTTCTCCAGGACCTTGTCAAACCTGTTGTGATAATGATCCCAATTACAGTGTGTCCGGGGCATCCATTACTGCAAACGACATTCTTTTGAGAGTGAGCGAACAAGAGAGGGAGAGAAAGAGAGAGCTTGGGTTACAGTGAGAAGAAAAGTATTTGCGCGTGTGCAATGTGTGCATGAGTCATGCTTTTATATAATGCATGTTGCACTTGTATGTGTGTGCACGCTTGTGCACAGTGCGCGGATGTGTGCACGTGTCCGTCAGACCGCATAGGTACATCTAATTACAGATCAACCTCTATTGGTGATCCCCACCTGTGAAACATGCTGAGTAACCTGATATCACCCTGCACTCCCCGAGGACTGGTTTGGCCCAGTCTCAACACTCACAGCCAAGCCTTTACCGCCATAGGCTGAGCCTCAATAGTCACACGTTTGCCTGTATTATCCTCAGTGTTATAGAGGGCCGGGTGAGCTGCTTCCTCAGTACAACATTAAAACTATAGTGTGTTTACAAAACGCCCATAAGCTAACAAGCTATTTCTCTATTGTACACTCAATGCAAAAAAAATGATACATTTCATACATCTTTACATGGACTGCTCTGATCTGACCAAAAATATAAATATTATCATTATTTATTATCAATTTTAATATTTTTTTGTGGCATTTTGATCTTCATTGGACAGTTTATAGTTATAGTGGAGACAGACAGGAAACAATGGAAGAGACAGAGAGGTATGGCCAACCAGGTGGCAACCTCCGGTTCTGAAGAGTGAAGCCGATGCGAGAGTGTCTTAAAACTTGTATTCTCTCTACTGACCATCAGGGGGCGACTCCTCTGGTTGTATAGAAGTCTATGAGAAAATGACTCTACTTCTCTCTTGATTTATTACCTCAGTAAACATTGTAAACATGAGTTTATGGTCTCAATCTCTAGTTTCAAGTCTTCTTCAATACAGCATGATGTTCATTTAGTAAATTATGCTCCATTTAGAGTCAAACAGACCAAAAAGCAGGGGATGCTTTAGGGCGGGGCTTACTGTGATTGACTACCTGGCGACGGTACTTCTTATATACTGTCAACAACGAAGGTTATGTGTTTATATGGCTATTGGGCTTATGAAGTTATTTTGATAATGTTGATATTAATATTTCTTCTTGAGATGCAATTTAAAAGCTGAATGTCAGTCAGATATATCTCCCATTTGCCTTAATCCCTCTGTCTCTCATTTTAAGTTCCTATGCTTTTCGTCCTCTCTTTAGGCGTGTTATTCTACTGCATCTACCCCACCAAGCGTCACACCCTCTGCCTGGAGATGGCTCTGAAGTGCCAGGCGGACGTCAACAATGTGTCAGCGCGGGGGACTCATGTCTTCCAGTTGATGTGTGAAAAAGCCCAGGAGTGCACCCCCATGTGTCTCATCACGCTGGGTGCAGGGGCAGACCCCAACGCAAAAAATAAGGTTAAAAAATACAATGGGGACTGACACTGAGGCATTGTGGGAGCTGAGGCAATGGCAGTGGAGTGTGTGGGATCTGAGCACACAACTTAGCGTGATGCCGAAATATTCTCAGCTGAGATGTTCTTTGTGCTGTTTGTTTAACCAAAGACCGACTCCTCTCCCCTCTTTCTTGTCAGAAAACCGGCGTCACGGCGTTGATGGAGGCAGCCAAGGCGGGCTCCCTGCAGCTCGTTAAAGCCATTCTCAAGAAAGGGGGAAACCCCAACGCCCTGGATCGAAAACGCCGCACAGCAGTGCACTATGCCGCCATGGGGGGCTTTTTTGAGGTGTAGTATGAGCTCAACTCAAATTACAGTAGTTACTATTAGTACCAGTGGGATTTTAGATTAAAGATTCTATGTGTTGCTCTGTGGTGTTGTGTGCCTTCTAGTTGTTTCCGGTGCTGTCCGCATACTCAGCAGACATGGGTGGGATCAACTTAGAGGAGTGCACAGCCCTACACTACGCCTCCGCCACGGGCAATGCTAACTGCTGCAAGTTCCTGGCACAGAGAGGTGATGTGAGAGAGTCTAACGTTAACCCTGCATTGAAAAAGATAGCTCTGTGGTAACTACTCCTAATGCCATCACAGGGTCAAGACAGGATCTTTACTTTTGTAGTCTTATGTTTTATAAGCTTTAATCTCTGTTGAGAGACATGCAGAGCCAGGAAATACAATTGTCTTCTCTCGTAAAGTATTCGACAAAAAAAAAAAGAAGAAAGTTGTAGAGTATGCAGCTGCAAACACTGTCCCAAATTGAATTAGGTCATTCTACCATGTCTTTATATTTTCCCTAAAACTGTGATGTTCAGGTTGTAACCCCAAACTGAAGAACCAGGAAGGTTTGCTGCCACGTCAGATTGCCAAAGCGGCTGGTCACAAAGCGGCAGCCAAGGAGCTGAGGAAAGCAGAGCGCCAACAGGGGAAAGTCAAAAAATCCAACAGTGTGATTCCCACATCAGATCTTTGGGCCCTGACCCTCCACGACTGGTCTCACGAGCACGAGGATGAATTACGGCGAGCCTTTGAGGACAACTCGGACACAGTTACCGCCGAGAGGTGTATTTCAGTGTTGGAAGAACTGAAAGCTCCGGTTGAACTAGACCAGCTCAATACGGTCATCTCAGCACATGGCAAGACGAGAGAGGGCTACGTCAACATTAATGATTTCATCAAAGGTGTCAAGTACATCAAGAAACCATTCCTCCTCTCCTCTTATATGCCAAAAAATAAAAAGGGAGGGAAAGGAGGGAAAGGAGGTAAGAAGAAGGGTAAATTTGTCCTCCCCGTGCCCATTTGCACTGTCCCACCGGAGCTCATGCCCCGGCGACCGGACGGAGGCCCACCCCACTTCATGATTGAGACATACTACAACTGCTCGGACATCCGCCGATTCGACCGCGATCACCCGCCAGAACATCCCCTGATGAATGACTCAGGATGGTACGTGGAAAAGCCAGAGAAGGTCTACGTCAATGTCAACTACTGTGTGAAAAGTGGAGACCTGGAGTCTCTGGACCTCGCTCTCAATCAGGGCGTTCCTGTGGATGTCCAAGACCAGTTCTACAAGACCCCACTCATGGTGGCCTGCTCCAGTGGCAACTACGAGGTGGCTCAGTATCTCCTCAGTCGGGGGTGAGAAACATCACGCTTTCTGATTTATTTTTATTTGTTAAGATTTGCAAAGATTTTCCCACTGAAGCAATACAGATGTGTTTCTTTGTTACATTTGTGAGGATTATTACTGTTTAGTGAAACGGATTATCAACAATGTGAATTTAAAGCAGCTGTTATCAATATTTTAATAGTAAACGTATGAAAACAAGGGGACAACTTGAAAGGGGTCGCTTGCAGTGAATCAACAGCTCCCCCTCGGCTTCACTGAGCCTCTAAACCAGTTCCATTCTCAGCTGTTGTGTTAACGTTTTCACGTTAATGTAAGATTAAATGTTGCTGGTTTTAAGTTATTATCCTTAAGATAAATGAGGTATCAGGAAGGTCCCAGAACACTCAGTAAAACCACAGAGGAGCAACTGGTGTATCCGTTTACAGGGCCAGGTCCCTGGTACTGTGCATGCTGGCTCTCTTCAATGGCCGTGACACACTAAAGAGAATGGGACCATAATTGATTCGATCATTTACACCTGTGTTACCTGCTATGACTTTGTCAAATGGCTGCTGTGGAAACGGCCAGCCTGTGTTCTGTCAGTTTAACGCTCTCATTAAACTACAGAGTTGTTTAGAACAGGTCATCTTTAGTTAATAAGTGGTGATTTCCGCACCTGTTTTTGCAAAAAGTTTTCATCAAATGGTGAGGTCAGAGGTCAATTCTACTCTCTGTTCCTGACAGGGCCGATGTGAATGTGTGTGACCAGTTCTTCTGGACGCCCCTCCACCACGCGGCTCACGCTGGCCAAGTGGAACTCATTGAACTTCTGGTGAAGGCCGGGGCCTCCGTAGACGCCCGGGCCCTCGGAGGAGGCACGCCCCTCATGAGGGCCATCGAGAGCTCTCGACCCTCCTGTGTGGACTTCCTCATCAAGGCGGGCGCCAGTGTCAATGCAGAGAACAAGAAAGGTTTGACTGTACATCTAAAATACACAGAAGTTCATTTAAAACACTAATATTTAAATACATTTCATTTGGCATATTAAAATAACCAGAGGGAAATATAACTGAATTGGATTTCATCACATTTTGAGGAAGCAACATAGACAATAGATTTGGTTTACAGTGCACACTATGAATTCATAATAAGTTTTCAACTTTCAGGCAAGCTGGTTAAAACTGTGACTTGTCCCGTCATGTGATTGACCATATTTTATTTCCCTTCAGAACAAAACTGCCTCGACATTGCCAGAGCTTTTGCTGACTCCAGGATAATTGACTTGGTCAAAGACAAGATGGACTCTCTGCCCAAAACAAAGGAGACAGCCAAGGGAAAGGGGAGCAAAGCTCAAAAGCCTAAACCTGCTCAGGCAAGGGTACCCAAGTAACTGCATTAAAATCTTCCATCTTGTGGCTTTAAACCTTTTCTGTTTCCCCTTGTTTCAAATTTAAATTTCGCTCTGTTCCTAATTCACTCTTCACTGTCCACAAAACACATTCAGGATTGTTAGGAAAAAGAAATCAGACACCTCCGATCCTACCAGTCAGTTCACCTCAGGCTGCTTCTATCATCTCAGTATAGTCTCATCACATAGCTAAATGGAGCAAAATGACATGATTACTATAGCAAGCTAACTAGTGTCATCAACGCTGTTTATTGTCTCAGGCCAACTCATCAGACTTTGATGCTGATGTTGCTCCAATACATTGGTCTTTCTGCTCTTTGCTGGTGAAGATAGACCACCAGAAGAGACAGCCGCTGCATTGTTTCCCTCGCTGGGGTCTTTGTGGCTGCCATTGTCACACGGCAGGCTGGGATATCAAAGTAAAACGTAGCCAACATTTGACTGGAGGTAATCTCCCACCCTCGTGTTTCATCTGTGTACTCCAGCGTCTTCCGTCAGCATGAGAAACCTAAGCCTGTAACCAAATCTGATTACTCTAAGGCAGCAACTTGTAAGCAAACTAGACCAGATGTCTTATGTTACACCTAGACCATGCAAGCAATTCAATTTGCATTTCCTATTAGGAATCAGGCCCAAATCTGACAGAATGTATTGATTTTGTCATTAGGAGGTGATGCCGTAGCACAAGTTCCTCAGGAATATTCACAGTTTAAATATTGCTGCAAGCAGCAATTCTGGGGAGCAAGAAAAAGTCCATCACACAGAATAAATTGCACACAGGTACAATATGGAGCTGTCTACCCACTGAGCATTTTTTATCATAACCCAGAAAAGCACAGGGGCGATATAGACCACTTCCTTTGTCTGCTCCTGCAATAAATGATGAAGACAATTGATGACGGAATTGCAGAAATTCACTCATTACTACAAGAAACTGATGAGCCTATTCAACTTACATCCAATGGAACTTATGAGCAACCCAATTGCTGTAAATATTGCATGCACCCTTAAGTCAAACTAGATGCTTTTCATTGCAATGTAACACTCACATATGGCTTTGAACCCGTGAAACCCATCACTGAATTGGTTAGAAATAGGATCCTGTAAATGAGACGGACACAAACCTAAAATATGGTCATAATTCCTGTGTTTTCATGAACATGATCTACTGTCAAAGTTAGACAACGTCTTAGAATCTTTAACCCTCCGGCCTCTAGTTTGTGGTTGCAAAGTTTCACGGGGCTCTGATCATCGTAGAGGTCACAGCAGGTCATTTTATACGGTGACGTCGAGTTTGAAAACATGACATCATACACGAATAGAACTGGGCTCATTGGAATAGGGGAGACTAACGTATATTTATATACTTAGATATGGTTTATATATATATATGTATATATAAATAAATGTATACTGCACGCAAAAAACTGCATGGTTTTTGCCCAATTTTCATTCACATATCTTGAGGTGAGAGGTCGAGGGAATCCTTCGAAAATCTCCATCATTACCTACAATTGAGCATGAGATAGTACCGCTTGATTCCTCAGGTTTTATAGTCTCATATGATGCCTGGGCCAAAGGCAGCCCGCCGGCAGGCCATCCAATCGCCGACAGGTTAAACCAATTAGTTTGACTAAACTATTATCTTTTAACCGTCTTTAACCTCATTTCTTCTACTTCATAAAGTCTTTACTGCTTAATTGATTTGTGTGTCAGCTAAATATTATAGGGTTTCAACACAGTGAACACCATAGTAAAGGCACCTGTTGGGCCTTTAAAGCTAAAATCTTATCTAATCTTTACTTCACTGTTTAAATGTCCAGACAGCGGCCAAATGAATCAGCTGATGTCGACCAGCCCAATATTCACTCTCAAGAGTTTAAACCCACAACAAGCTTGAGACATAGAAGGGAAGCTGATCTTCTGAAATGTAAGTTGGGCTGTAGAGATGGACCAGAGGTGACGATAGAGGGATTATTGTGTTGACTAAAATTTAAAACCTGCATTTCTTGGACTGACTAAGCAATCAGTTCAGTGGTCTACCAGAGACTCAGAGAAAACACCTTCAAGTGTTGAGACCTGCGTGTCTTACTGTGAGTACAGCTCTGTTGTTAGTAGAATACTTTGCTCTGGACACATCTTCTGACAAAGAGCTGACATATCTTACCCTTCATTTTCTCTGGCTGACCTGGTGCAGATAAACCCTTCCAGCCCTCTTCAGTAACCCCTCTCTCTCTCTGAGAGACCTCAATCTGACACTGAAGACCTTTGATTTGTAGCAACTGCACAGAGTACTTGATTTAAAATAAGGCAAGTCTGAAAAATCTTGGTGTCCCCTGCAGGACGTTACTGCAGAAACTTCAGCGCTCGCAGAGACATCGACTGCAACAGCGGGGAAGACTCCTCCTCAGAGGGATTCCAAGAGCGTCATCCTGCAAAACACCAGGATTACGACGGGGAAAACTAACACTGTGGATATCACCTTTGTGCCAAAAACGGTAGGGCTCACCACCATTGACTGGAGGTTGACTGGAGCGTCTGCCTGATAAATACAAGTTAGTCCTTCATGTCTGAACATACCACGAAAAATATCCCGTAAACTGCCTGTGAAATGCATTTTGATACTTTTCAGGCTCAGCCTTGTTAGTTGTAGATGTTTTGCCGTTGAATAGGGTCAAAGGCCCTATTATGCACATATATTACACACCAATGATATACAAGATCTACTGCTATCAAAGAAACATTTCTCAAGGTGAACATGTTTCCAGTCCAGAAACTTGCTTTCTTAATCGTAATTTAACAACAGACACACTTGCCCACAGTGTTCCCATCAGTGCACATGAGTTCAGTACTGTACACAACTAACTGAGTAATTACATAAAGTTGTCTCTGTCTATATCTATTCATGACTTTCTCCTGTCTGAAACCTGTCTCAGGTTTGGGGGAAGCCGCCCACCACCAGCCAGCTGATGTCAAAGATAGAGAGACGGAAGGAGCTCTTGTCCCTGAAGGTGGACTTGGACGACTTCATGAAGCCTTTCAGCCAGAACATGCAGAGGAAAACACTGGAGCCGGCAATGACCACAGACTAGACCGAAAGGAGGTTAGGCAGCAAGAGACACTCAGACATTTCGTAATCTCAGTCTGTTACCTGAGCCGGCTGGCCACCTGTAACAATCACAGACATTGGATTTACCGTATTAATCTATTTATCCTTACGGCTGCTTTGATCAACATAGTCGGACTATCATGTAACTAAACCTCTTCAGTATCAGAACAATGTCAATACATAGTCAGAAATAGTTTGAAGGACAGTACATGTATAATTTCATCACACTAATCTGTTGTTATTAACAGTCACACGACAACTTCATGCAATTAATAAGAATGTGAATACGCACCAAGGTACTGTACAGCATACCCACAATGCTCAGCAGGCACTGTTTGTATATTGTCAAACAAAACAAAAATAAAACTGATATATATTTGTTAATACACTGGAACATGTAAAGATTTTGGTTTAAACCGAGAGCTGTTTTGCTGTCTGAAATCCCACGACCCTGAAAGTCAAAGGTTCTCTATACTAAATGCAGAGCATTAATATATCATCAAACAACTATTATCTATGTAAAGATATAGAGGAGTAATATCTACCTGGGCAGAGAATGAAGTCACTCTTCCTCTGTGTGTGTTGTTGTCAGAGCTTCTCCCTGCTTTGTTCACATGGCCGGGCTGGCTGCATGTGCCTTTTAGTGCATGTGATCGTTGGCTCTATCAGCACTGTTGCTGTTGCGAGCACCGTTAGCTGCTCTAAATTTAATACTGAGCACCTTTAAAAGATGCAGTAGCTTCACAGTTTTTAAACTCTATCTTCAACAGTCAGGTGTCCATATGAACGTCAAAACAGGTTTTACATTCTGTTCATACTGGCCAGTAAGAGGGAATTATGAACCAAAAAGACTGTGCATTTGCTAAACTTCATTAGACTAACTCTGCCGAAGCCTCATCACTTACATATGGAAGCTCATCAGGGAGGGGGAGGAATGAATACAGCAAGCAAAACCTGTTACAACGCGCATGGTCTCTGATCATTTAAATATCTAAGAGCGTAATCACATAACACTTGCTCAGCGTGACTTGGTCAAATGATCCAAGCAGTTAGTGGGCCCAGTTAGATGGACAGTCTGAGTGTTACAGGCTGTGACTGAATTAAACTGGGCGCAGACTACAGGGGGTCTGCTGGAAAGCTCTACTGTCAGTACATACTGCAGTTAGGAAGTCGGGTTAAAATCCTCCCCTGACTCTGCAGTGCTGGAGCTGCAGTGAGAACCGTGTGGAGCCTGTTAGAAGCGGCTGGAGGAAGCTGCTGAGGAGAGGAGGAGACAGACGCTGCTGGCTCGCTCTTTCTGTCTTTATCTTCCCTTACTGGAACATTCTTTACAGCGTGTCAAACGCACACTATAGATATATGCTGCAGTCACACAAAAGAAACACGTTTACTCAGCAAATGATCAACTCTCAGTGCAGCCAGACGCTCGTCCAGTTCAGTTTGATGTCACTGCCGCAAAACATCAAGTTGCCGGCAGAAAAATAACTGCTCTCCGGCCAGATGCAGTTCCGCATTGAAACCACTGTGTAGCGCTGTTTGGTCATTTTAGCATTGCAGCGGGTTTGGTTGGATATTGAGCTGGGAGAGGATATAACTTGGAGGGAGCTCTGGTGTTTCTAGCACAGAAAGACATCAAAATGGCAGCCGTGTGCATTCACTCTTCTGATGTTAGCCACTCTGAATGCTTTGAAAAGGGAAACGGCATTTCCCGTCTTAATGAAAAGAGCATACTGATGTCATCATAAGATGGTAAAGAATGTACAAAGTGTTATATCTGCCTTGATGAGCAGATGACGTGAATGGCTTCAGGGTGGCTTTGTGGAGCCGCACAGGGTCCGCATCGTATATATTTAGTTGTTGGCTGTCCACAGCAGGATTTATCTGAGGAAACAGACACGCTTTTCTGTGTTAAATGTCGCATTGACATCGCACACTCCCATCATCATCACCACCATCAGCAGATCATATTAGATTGCAGTGTCCTCAAGGTCCACGGGGACGCAGTTATATCATCAAATATACGGATGGGGGGGGGGCTGTAACGGCTTTGAGGTTGGTAACACAGGGCCTGGATTGTTTAAATATACATAATCACAACACCGCCGATGACAGGGATGTGAGGAGAGAGGCAGAGGAGGAGAGAGGAATGAGAGCAGAGAGGGAGGAGGCAGAAGGAGGCACGCACATATGTGACGATAGACAGACAGAGAGAGAGAAACAGAGAGAAAACATCCCTGGAAGCTCAGCAGAGCCATTCATAATGAGGCGGGAGAGAGACGAGGGAAGGAGAGCACCGACGGCGCGGGGAAGGGGAGGGGAGAGGAGGGGAGGGGAGGGGGGTATGGGGATGGAGAGAGAGCGTCGGAGGGTGACTCAGACGATGGGGAGGGGGGGGGGGGGGGGGCGGGAGGAGAAGATGAGGGCTTTTCTAGCACAATAAGTGGCACACAGGTTAGAGGGAGTAAACAAGGCTGCTGGCTTCTGATTGCCGGCCGTGACGCAGTGTGTCTGTCGGGGGCGTGGGCCCCAGCTTATGCGGTCCTGCAGTATGTGCGTGCGTAGCGTTGCACGAACGTGTCTATTTATAAAGAATATAGAGATACATGTGTGCCTGTTTACATAAAGGAATGCTCATCTTAGTCATGATGTGTCATTTGAGGCTCCATAACAGAGAACGATATCAGCTGTCCTGTGTGAATACAGTATCTGTTTCCAAAATCCATTTGGAGAGGAGAGCCAGAGGAGAAGAAAAGAGAGGCGGGAGTGTGCGAGTGTGTGTGTGTGTGTGTGTGTGTGTGTGTGTGTGTGTGTGTGTAGGCTGGTGCGACTGCATTTGTATGTATGGAAGTTTACATTATTCAGGTTCCACTGTGCCCTCAAGGGGAAATACGTATTATTTGCATCTGCGATAGTGTGACTGCTAAAATGTTGAGTGTAAATGTGTGCTATTAGTGTATGTGCGTCTGAGCTCAGATCAGTGTGTGTTGCTGCCAGCAGCACTGCAGTCTCCCAGCTCTGGTCCTGCACCGCTTACTCAGCACTCCAAGCCTTCACTTCCCAAAACAACCCACTGGGACACACACACACACATAAACACACTCACTCAGTATATTTTCACTGTTTGTTATTAATACAATCTGGTGTGGCGTTACTTACATTAAGTACGCATGAGCATACAGATATGCAGAGTGTATAATCCAATAATTGCAGGCTGTATGTAAGCGAGCACACACAGATGGACACTGGACATCTCATACACATTCACATACACATACACTGAAATACACACAGATGTACTGGCAGTACTGTCTGTTTCAGTGATCGAACTGGCTACTTTAATGTGTAGACCTATGCAATCTGATTAGGGTTTGGCGATATGTCCGAAACCTTCTATCCTGATATAGATCATATCATATCTCGATGACGATGTGTACCATAATATAGCATGTTTTCTGATCATTTAATAAATAGATAGTCTAAATTAAATAACTAAGAAATCCACAGACCTTGTTGTGAGCAGTTTCATGTAGGAACTATCGTTTGAAAGAAAATAGTTCCTACATGAAACTGCTCACAACTAGATCTGTGGATTTAGGAACTTTAGTGCAAAATCATCAGATTTCTGTAGAAATATATCTCATTGTATGATTTCTTCACAATACAATTCCTTTGAAAGATGATACATTATCTCCCAGCCCTATTTCTTATGTGTTTCTAATATTTTACATTATATTTATTATTGTATATTATTTGTCTCCCTTCATTTTTGTAAAAGAAGCAGACAAGATATTAGAAACATCCTTGAATATAATGCCGTCCAGTTCAACACCACTGCAAACTGCAACCCTAAATATTTACCATATTGTTAAATGAACAGCTCTCAGGCAGTATCCGTCCAAACTGAACATTAATAAACATTAGTACCTCCGTATGGCTGAGCTGTTGTATCGGATAACAGCACATTTTACAGATGTACTCAGTAAAGCTGCCACTGAGCGTACTTGCTAATTCATTTTCTGCCGATCAATCACTCAAAACTAAGTCATATTTTCAACTCTATTATAGACAGACAACACGCATACTTTACATCGTACACAACACTGGACATCAATAATGTAGATTCCTATATTACTCATATCAGTGGATACTCAGTACTGCAGTTGGAAAACTATCATTTGGTCAGTCGTCAGCCGTGTTACTTTAAATTCAATGAATTTAATTAATGATACTGCGTAATACAGCACACGTCCATTACGTATACGTTAACTGACACTGACAAAATATATCCACAGTTTTAAGTTGAAAGAAAATGCATTTCCTGTAATTTCATGCTGAGATGGATTCAGTGCTCATGGTGTCTCTGTTTCCTCAAAGAGCCAACAGCTGTAAGCACAGGAGCAGGGGAACGGAAAGGCTGCGTCTAGAGAAACAGTGGCGCTGTTGCACAGATCCTGGTTTAGCATTCATTATTGATGAGGGAGTCATGTTTCACACCAGCCTGACTGACTATATGTAACACAACAGGGCCTCATGTGTGTGTACTGGATGTTGGTGTAGGTGTTTGGTACCTGCATAGGTTTACTGAGCAAGTGAATGCATTTGTGTGTGTGTTGCAGTGATTCATCATTCATTAGTGCAGCCGTGGCAGTGCCATAGATCTCTTCCAAGCTATAGATTCCAATTTGCTGCAGGCCTGGGACTTTTAATATGAGGGTATTGATTTGAATTTCATAGTGAGACCAATAACGCTGGGTGGTAAACAGAGGACCTGGACTTGGCTCAGATAAACACACGAAATCCTGGAGGAAAAAAAAGACAAAAAACGGATCAAATAAATATCTGGCCGGAGCGATTGCAGCTGCTGCAGCATTTTACTGACTTCCTTTGTTAAAGTGGAACGTAAAAATGTGTAAATTGCAAAAAGATCAGAAACCTGCAGAGGACCCTGCAGAGAAATACAACCTTTTTTCTTTACCTGTCACTTGATGTTTGTTATTGAATCATGTGACTTGTTGCCGGAAGACAACAGTGGAAATGTGAGTGAGAGTTGGAGAGAGGAGTGCCGGTGTTGTCACAG